GTTTTTTGTCTTCTTTCAATGCATCATATATCTTTGTGTTATAAATAATGTTTTAAAATCACATCATGTGTCCAATAGACTAGTAACAGGCAAGCTCTTGCCATCTGCATTACATATTCCTGAGAAAGGGCTGACAAATGGCATGAGATTTGATTTTACAGAAACATCATCTGACAAATATGCAAGACATTAATCATCCTTCATTTCTAGATTAATATGTTTTTATTTAATAAGTGTGTAATCATTTCGAGACTAACTGCATTGTGTAGAAGTCAATAATCTTCTGCATGTCTACATTAGAATTAGGTCTGACTATGAATGATGGAAACTCAAAACGACAGTGGCTTAAACAAGTTAAATTTTATTTCTTTTATATAAACAAGAAGTCCTGGGCCAGAAAGAAAGTTAATAGTCAGAAACCAAAGCTCTCTCTGGTCTTGATGCTCACTACAATCCTTAATATGCAGGTCTAACTCCTACGTTAAAACAGATGTTCCAGCTCCAGCCTTCACATCCTCATTCCAGCCAGCTCAAGGACAAGGGAAAGAAACCTTTTATTGCTATTTAAAGGTACTTCCTGGAAGTTGCTTATACTTTCCCAATCATTATAACTTGGTCGTGGGGCTAGATATATTAGTTCAAAGGAAGACTTGGCAGTGCCATCTTTGTACTGGTGGTTATGTGATCAGCTAAGAAAACTGGGGATCCTATTTCGAGAAGAGGCAGTAAATGCATACAGGAAGATGATTACTAGTCTGTGTTACTTTGTCTTTGCCATTTAACTGTCACAGGTCAATAGGGTTTAAGGCTACAAAAAAAGATTTGGTAAAATGGCTTACTGATGTAAGAAATATGCATTTCTGAAGGGTCAAAATTAAGGTGTTAGCTAGTGTGAAACTTTCATTGAATTTTAGAAGCTATGCTGATTTCATGAATTGAGTTCAAAATATTTAAAAATTATTAGTGCTGCAAATAATTGTCTCATGAAAAAGCAATGAAGTGCCATATAACACCAAGGGCACAAGCAACAAAAGACAAAAAAAAGAGTACAGACTTTTGTTTATCAAAGATCATTATCAACATAGTGAAAGAGCAACCCAAGAAATAGGAGAAAAAGGTTTGTATATTATGTATCTGAGAAGGGAAAAAAATATCAAGAAGTGCAACTCACCAAATAAAACCTCCAAACAACCTGATTTTTAAAATGGGCAAATGACTTGAGTAAACTTTTCTACAAAGTTACAAACAGCCAGTAAGTTCATGTTAAGGATGTTCACCATCACTAATCATTAAAGTAATGCAAATCAAAAACTCTAAGAAGGGCCAGGTGGTGGTGGTACATGCCTGTAATTCCAGCACTTGGGTGGTTGAGGCAGAAGGACTTCAAGTTCAAAGCCAGCCTGGGATACATAGAGAATTCAAGGACAGCTGAACTACACAGAGACAGCCTGTCTCAAAAAGACCAATTAACCAAATAAACAAAAAAAAAAACATACAAAACCCCGAAAGAGATGCCACTTTATATCCATTGATGGATGACATTATATTTAAAAAAGTAACTGTTATCAATGATGTGAACTGGAACACTTGTGCATTGCTGCTTTGAAAAATAAAATGGCAGTCCCTCAAAAAGTGAAAAATAGAATTATCATTTGAATGAATAATTCGACTTTTGGGCATATACTCCAAAGTATTAAAATCAAGGCTTAAATAGGTATTTGTATATTCATGTTCATAGTAGTACTACTCACAATAACTAAAAGTTGGAAGTAACCCAAGGGTCCATCAGCAAATGAATGGCTAAAAAAATGTTATATAGAGGCAAAGAAATATCATTCAGCCTTAAAAAGAAAGAAAGTCAGATACACATTCCCATAGATGAGTTTTACAAGCATTTTAAGTGAAATAAGCCAGCCACAAAAAGACAGATACTGGACGTTTCCACTTGTATGAGTTTCCTAGAGGAGTCAAATTTATAAAGACTTTCCAGAGCTTGCTTCACAAGTTCAAGGACCAGAGTTCAATACCAGGTACCAAAAGAAAGAAAGAAACAAACAAACAAAAATTATAAAGACTAAAAGCAGGATTGTGGTTTCCAGAAGCTGGAAAGGGAAGAAATGGGGAGTTACTGTTTAATGGGTACAGTTTTGGTGCGGGAAAGAGTTCTGGAGATGGACTACAGTGATGGTCGCACAACTATGTGAGTGTCCTGAGTGGTGTCAAACTGCACACTTGTTTTGTAGGTAATCAGACCATTGTCCTAATTATTGAATAACATTTGTGTTTATCCCTCTTATTCCAATGATTTGAAAGTCAACTATAAACTTTTTCTACTTTTGAACTGAGCTGAACTGGCAAAGCCTTAGAAAACATATCTATTACAAGCCCCCCAAAAAGTAGAGTGCTTTACAAAACAGAGGTGGGTCTTTTTCTGTAAACAGCCAGATAGTAAATGCTGTATAGTCATTATGAGAAATGTGTTACCAGGTGATTTTGTCATCGGGTGATTTGTTGCTGTGCAAACATTATAGAGTACAATCACGCAGACTCAGACAGTGAAGCCCACTACACGCTGCAGTGATCTGGGTCAGCCTATTGCTTCTAGGCTGAGACCTCGTACTGCATGTGCTGTACTGAATACTGTGAGCAGCTGTAGCACAATGGTAAATAGCCAAGTATCTAAACATGGAAAAGGTAGATGAAAATATTAGGTGATAGGAATTTTTCAGCTCCATTGTAATCGTATGCAATCACTGTCACAAATGTGGTCTTTGACAAAAAATTTGCTATGTGTGCATCTATATTTTAGGCTTTGTGGGCCACATTAGGCCTGTTGAATACTTTTCCTGTCTCCTGTTTCCTTTAAACATCCCTACAAAAATGTAAAAACCTTTCTTATCTTGTGGAGATGTACCAGAAAAAGCTGTTTTTTTTTCTTTTATAATTACATTTGTAATACATAATGAATACATTCATCAGTGGGGAGTTGGTACATATATGTACTGCATCTTAATCCTTTTTACTTCCCTTTTTTCCCCTTTTCCCTGAAACCATAGTTGGTAAAGCTGTAATGTGCAGATCTCTGGTAGACTCTGAGGCCCTTCTTGTACCAAGCCATACCTCATAGCCAGATGTGGGCATCTGATTGAGATAAACTAGATTTGAAGGTGACCAGTAACTTCTGTCCAGGCCTGACTCAAGTGGCATGAGTGGACCCCGCCAAGTCTATTTCCAAAAACTCTTACAAGAAAAACTTAGAAGTGATCAACCCAAGAGAAACAGAGTGGGTCCTAAATGAGAATTGAAGAGACCTTCCCCTGGGAAGAATATATATACATAAAGTATGCCACTCTTTCTTGAGGAAATTTATGTGTTCTTTGTAATTAGAAAACTAAATTACTCTCATCCACTACAAACCTAAATTGATGCAAACACTTTGGAAGACAGTCTGGCAACACCTAGTAAAATTAAATATGGGCTATCCATGACCCAGCAATTTCACTCTGGGATAGTTTGCCCAGAGAAATTCTTTTGGGTATCAGAAGATAGGGACAAGAGTGTTCATAGCATGTAGTCGACTGTCTGTAGCTGAGACTGTTAACTGATCAGCTCTCAGCCCTGCCACTTAACAAAGCTGTGTGGCTTCAGACAAAGGCCCTATTTTCATCATCTGTGGGGTAGGGATAATTTAATTCTCACAAAGTTGTTGCGGTGATTTAAATGAGTAACATATGTAGAGTTCTGGGCATAAATCAAGCAATATATCTTTTAGGTATTGTTGTAACTCTCATTATTATAGCAGCATCCCTCATAATAGTTAAAAATAGAAATCATCTCAAACCTCCACCAACAGAGAATGGATAATAAAGTGTTGCATTTTCAAACTATGGAGTCCCACAGATCATAGGAGTGAAAAGAAAGGGAGCTACATATATCAATTTGTCTTAGAAACAAGAAGTATTTGCATTCCTATGTGAAGAGAAAGCTGTAGGTGTGGAAGAACACACGTACTATGATGTCATGTTGTCACAAGCAAAATTAAACCCATGTATACAGTATACGTACTCAGACACTACAGAGGTAGCAAATGGGCAAAGAAAAGCAATGGAGTGGGGAAGAAACAAACTCAGGATATTATACAGGAAGATGGGATTGGAAAAGATCTTTAGTGAATTTTGTGAAGTTTTTAAAATTCACAAATTGGGTGGCAAGTTTATGAGCGTTCTTATGTTAAACCATTACTTTGGTGAACCAAATCTTTAAAATATACAGTACATGGGCAACAACTGAACTGGTTGAAATGCAGAAAATAAGAATTAAAACAAGGAAGCTTTTAAAATGTTCTATGAAAGCATTCATTGAATGGTTGAATGTAATTTGCTCTAGGAAATACTTCTTGATGAAAATTGTTGGTATAATATTTGAGTAAAATTGTCTTTCTAAATTCAAAATTAGCATAACCTGGTTGTCAAAATAGCTGGATAGAATAAACCTGTAGATAATTAAGAACCTTAAAGGTTACCTAAATACCTAAAACCTCAAGCATTCAATTTATATACAGTGGACTCTCAAGTTACAACTGGCCTGATACATAAACAACTTGGGTTGATTATATTAATTAGATTCATCTGCCTCTTGTTATCTATACTACAGTTGATCTTAACCAAAAGGCCGAGAAGCGATTGCCTCTTGTTATTTATAGCACGCACCCAGGTAAACATCTAGATAGCTATATTGACTTATGACCAACTTCAGCTACAACTAGCCCTTGGGAACCAACTTAGTTCATAATTCAAGGATCCAATGTAATAAACTTTCACATTCATAGGAAAAACAATTTCTAACTGGAGCCTGGGCAGATGTCAGGAAAATCTAAATAGTCAAAGAGATAGAAGTTATAATAGTAAGACAATTCATCTCTAGAGACAGGCAAAATGGGAAAACATCAAGAAATCCTACTGTTGTTAAAAAAGAGAATTCAACACTGAGGCAATTTTTGGGGGTTAAGCTTCATTTACTTTCCTCAAGATTCGATGAAGCTGGTACGTGGAGTTTAAGAGTGGACATATTTGTGGACTGCTTTGCTTGCGAAAGCCACGGCAAACTTAGCAAGTTCCCCAGGCAACAGCAAATACACTGCCTTCTCGATGTCTTCTGGGGTGAGGGTACAGCGATTTCTGGAACACATCAGGTGGTGGGCTTCCGTAGCAATGCATTCGAAGATGTTGTTGATCAGGGCATTCATGATGTCCAAGGTGCTGGATGATATGCCCCTCTGGGGAGCAACTTTCTTTAGGACCCTGCTTACATAGAGTGAATAATTTCTGCGGCCAGAACTGTTGCGGAGACATGACTTCTTCCTGTACATTGGTGTTGTATGTTCTTTGAAGTATCTGTACTGCTTGGTGATGAATCTGACCATTGTGGGAGTCGTGGATGTTGTCCCTCTTATCAGTTACGAATGGTGAGGAGAAGGGCCTAAGCATGGGTGGGGGGGTCCCCCTATTTATGGCGATGTGTCATAGTTAGATTGTTGAGACTTCTCTCTGATTGGAGGTTGCTTTTCTGTATCACAATTACCTAGTAACCCTGGCACTCATTTGTTGTTAAGGGCAAATCCTGTTCTTGGCCAACCTAAAGCTTCTTAAGAAGGTACAGAGTGTGTGGCAGAAGAATTGGCAGAAAAGAGGAGTGCTCTTTTTCTTTTTTCTACTTTGTTTCTTGGCAATTCGAAAGCATTCTATACAATATTCTTAGACTTGGGCAAAACCTCATCAAATTGGGGGATGAGAGTAAGAAAAACAGAGGAAAAGCTGCCATAAGCCTTTGTTTATAAGCGCATATATAAATTGATTTTATAAGCAAATTAGTGATTAAATAAGCCATTTAAAAATCTCAAAATGATTTTCTAATAATAATAATTGAAAACTACATAGAGCTAATCTGGTTTCAAAAACTGTGACCTTTGTTTTTTAAGTGCAGTCTAATTTTTCCCCTAACTCCGAACTCCTCAGAAGTATATATATGGAGACTAAAACAAAAACTATATAGACTAGGGCTAGGGATTTAGTTCAGTGGTTCCACTGCCTGCCTCTTAGGGTCCCAAGTTCGATGTCTGGAACCAAGAAAGAAAAGAAAAGAAAACAAAACAAAACAAAGCAAAAAAAAAAAACTCCAAACAACAACAACAATAACAAACTATGTAGACTGTGTTCATTAACCTTTTAAACTCAGTATCATTCTTACAAATTTCTTTGTTTAGTTTTGGTGGTACTAGGCATTGAACCTTTCCACTGAGCGATGTTCCTAACCTCTTCAAATTTTTTAAAAGAACTTTTGAGACAGGGTCTTGCTAAGTTGCTAAATTGCCCAGGCTGGGCTCAAACTTGCAATCCTTTGGCTCCACTTTCCAAAGTACTGGGATTGCAGGGGATTGCATTCTCAGCTTGTTGTGCAGATTTCATGAGCTATCCTGTATGGTCTGCTTTTACTTTATATTCTAATTCTGGCATTAACCAAAAGATCTGTTCAGAGTCATTCTTGCCCATGTGTCATGCTGATATGCCTGCTTAAAATATCAGTTTGCTTTCTTAAGCAAATTTGTTTCTGAGTTAAAAAATAGAATTACTTTCAAAGTAACAACTCATGAGCATTTCAATTATTCATAATTTTTATAACCAAGGGACAGGGATTTAGCTCAGTGGTTCTGCTGCCTGCATCACAAGCACAAGGATCCAAGTTTGATCCCCGGTACCAAAAAAAAAAAACAACAAAAAAAAACAGACTGATTAATAATTTTTATAACCATTACTACCATTGTTCAGTGTCTATTTCTGTAAGCTCTTCACAGAGAAGGCAAACTGGGCTGTGTGTGATTGCTGGAATGCTTTCTGCAATTCCTTCCTCTTCTCTCCCATTCAAGTCTGAAATGAGGTTAAGAATCATGTTGTTATGGAGGTAACTTTGAACTAGTTCTAATTTATACAGGGGGAAATAACAATTGTTAATGTTCCCACAGTATTGCTACATAGTAACACAACTTGGCCTGTATCTCATCACAGGAAGATGGAGTCTGTTGCTTCTACTAGTTTTAGAGCAATAGATCTTTAGGCAGCTGATGCTAGTTTTGCTTCCGTCATTCTCTAGATATGATTACATAGTTTGCTTGATTATAGCATAGCTCTATTTGCTGTCATTTAGAAGTAACTGTCAGGTGGAGAACTTTTATTCCCTCTTCCTCCACTCTGCATGTTTAAGAGTTTTTATGAGAGTAATGTGCCTGGCCTCTCCCTCCCCCTTACTTACTCCTTCTTGCAAGGAATGATTTGCTTGACTGGTGAGGTGGAGAAAAGGAAGCCATGTCTACCTCAGCCTTCTCTGGATTTTCCCTGAGGTCTTGTCATGGACAGCTGCATCCTATGGAATGGATCACTCTTTGCTAGTTTCCAGTGCCTCAGTACATCATTCTGTTTAATTCCTCCATGTAACATTGGGAAGCCTATTGTTGCCCCCTACCTAAAAGCTGTCCATATAGTTGGTCAGTAAGGAAGCTCACAGTTGGTCTCCATCATTCTGGGTTCCCTTGGCTCTTAGTTTGTTCTGTGCAGGGAATGTATCACAGTGGCTGAAATAAGAGAGCTTTTTTAGGCCCCAAACAATAAACTGTATGCTAACAGACTAGAAAGTTTAGGAAAAGAGGAAATGAGGAATATCAATTCAATCAATTTCTGGCTAATCTTGGGCTAACCCAGATTCACTTTTAACATTCAGTGAATCATTTAAAATCTGTGAGTTCACTACTATGTTGGTTTTCCTTTTCCTTCCTTTGTCCTCTTATAGACAGTCTGAAGCCATAAAGAAGGATAAATTTGCATTATTCATAGGAAAATGGATGCATCTTGAGTCCGGACACAGAAGGTTAAATATTGTATGGTTTCTCTCTCTCTCCCTGTCTCTCTCTCTGTGCATGGCTTCTCTTGTATAAGAAACCCAAAATATAAATAATTTGGAGAGAAAAACAAAAGAAAGATGATATGAAACAGAGAGCTAGGCTTTGTGGAGATGGGAAAGAGATCTGGGGACCAGGGATATGGGAAGGCAGGAAGGGAAAAGAGAATCAAAAAGGATCAAGATGTGAGATATATATAGATATATAGATATCTATATATCTATATATATTTCACGTATATATATTATATATATAGATATATAGATAGATCTATATATGTTAGATATCTATCTCTCTCTATATATATATATATCTCAATACCCTATGACAAGCATTTATTATGTATCATAAGTATACTAATAAAATTTTCAAAAGAGGAGATGTCCATCAAATTACAGGCATTACAGCATGTCTGGTTATTTTGTATCTATTGCTGCTGTGATGGAAACTTCAAGGATTCCTCTTCTCTGCCCCAAACCTTAGTAGGAGATGCAACCAATTGAAAGAACAAATGAGCAGTGTACCAGAGGTCCTGGGTCTCCAGCCTATTCAGATATAGGCTAGAGTCAAAGGCATTCTAGTATTGTGCTGTAGTGCACTCTATTTGGGGCATGGATTAAGTAGTATACCGACCTCCATGACTGAATAAAGTACTGGAGTTACAATTGCTTATTTTTTTCATTGATGATTCAGGATCTTTCAATGATTATCAAGACTCAATTATTATTTTACATTAATATGACTGGTGGAGGTGACATGAATTTAAAACAGAAAGCCTCCATTGGCAGGTCTGAATGTACTCCAGGAACATTTTTATGGCCACCGTGTTAGTTTCTTTCTTTCTCTCTCTCTCTCTCTCTCTCTCTCTCTCTCTCTCTCTCTCTCTCTCTGTGTGTGTGTGTGTGTGTGTGTGTGTGTATGTTAATTCCTTATTGCAGTTATAACAAATCACCACAAATTTGGCCTTAACACAAATTTACCGTCTTACAATTCTGGTAGTCAGGGTATGAATGGGTCTTACTGGGTGAGTGTGGGCAGATCCTGGGGAGCAGTGGTGTGGTCCCGACCGGCATGCTTGCAGGCACATCCCAGCCAGGGATTGGCCCTGACCCCAGAGGCTTGGGCAAACCTGCCTGGCCAAGGCCTGCCCAGGAAAGAGCTGCATAGGTACACAAGTTTCAGTCAGAGGCCTGCCCCATAGCATCAGTGGTTTGAACCCAGGAATTTGTATACTGGTAAGCAGCAAAGAAAAGGCCTCTTGGTAGCTTGCTGAGAATTGAAGACCACTGGGTGAGCAAAAAGTTGTCTCAATAAAGGTACAGCAGGCTATATCTGTTGAAATGAGAAGACACTAAAGCAAGTCCCCAAACCAGACTTCCAGATCACCTAAGGCAACCCCAAAGGGAAACAAGATGGAACAATCTGATACTCAACCACCTGGACTCTCTGAACTATGAACAAAAGAGGATCTGGAAAAAATGGAGTCAGAAATAATGCCTCAGATAACAGCAGAGATTGTGCCTATAGTGCAAGATAGGATTAATAAATGTAGAGCAGACACATAAAAAAGAGAGGAGCTGAGGAACATGATAGAATCCCAACATAGGAAACAAATAAAATCCATAAAACAGATGCAATGAGATTTCCAGGAGATTAAAGACTCCAATGAATATGCAGTATATTTTACTCCATTGAATATGGAGTAAAAACTCCATTGAATATGCAGCAGAATGAGCCAATGCAAAGATAGAACTTCAGATATAGAAGATAGGATTGCAATTAGTGAACAGGAAGAGAAAAAATTCTTAAAAATAGTAAGGGACCACGAGAAATCAGTCCAACAACTCCTAGATGACACAAAGAAGAATAATATAAGACTGATCAGAGTTAATGAAGAAACAAGAGAGAGTGCAGATGACATAAAAAAAAAAAACTGTTCACAGAAGTAATGGCAGAAAACTTCCCAAGTAGGGGAAAAGAACTCGACATACAGATAAGTGAGGCATATAGGACTCCAACTAGCTGTGATTAAAAAATCTACATAAGCAACAGTTAAGATTCTAGAAACCCAACAGAAAAACAAAATTCTAGAAGCAGTCAGAGAAAAGAAACAAATCATATATAAAGGAAAGCCTATCAGAATCACAGCAGATTTCTCAACACAAATCCTTAAGGCAAGAAGAGCTTGGAGTGATGTATTTCAAGCCCTAAAGGAAAACAGCCTCCAACCAAGACTGACGCACCCTACAAAACTATCTTTCAAAATTGATGAAAAAATAAGATACTTTCATGACAAAGAGCACCTTAGGAACTTCATGAATACCAAAACAGCACTCCAAAAAATTTTAAACCAGATCCTAGGAAATGACAATGGGAATTACAACCTCAGAAAGCCCAGAAGAATGAACCCATTAGGCATGACAAATTAAATGCAAAGGGGGAAAGTCATGACAAGGGTAAGTCAATAAATATCAGTTATAACCATCAATGTTAATGTTCTCAATTCACCAATCAAAAGAAATAGACTGGCAGAATGGGTCAAGAAGCAAGATCCA